TGTCTCTGTGCCCGGCTCCTTCGGCAGCAGGCATTAGGGCGCTGACTCCAAACACGAAGCCGGGCCCTCTCGCTGCTCCGGAGTGGGTTCGCTATCGGAAGCGACTCGGTCTCAAAACCGAACCTTTTTCTCTGTGTCTCGAGCGTGTTACATTGCACATTTTGAAAAAGCACTTTTCCTTCTGGCTCCCGATGGCGCCGCTCCCTGCTGCAGCAGCGTTTAGGTTGGGGTTTGGAAAAGCAGTGTCGTCTGCGGGCGCCGTTGCCGCTTCGCTGCTGGCGACGCCTGCCGCTCCCGTGCTCGGTCGCTGCTTGCAGCCGGGTTCTCTGCGGGAACGGAACGCCGCCTTCTCTCGTAAGCTCGCGGGGATAATCAAAGGAAAGCAGAAGCAGCGCTGATGCCCTTTTGATGGCTGCGCTTGGTTCGCGCGCCTGTTCAGTCAGCAGAATGCGGACAGCCTCTCTGGTGGGGGCGGTCATTAATATTCCATGTTCCTGAGCTATTTCCAGACTCTAAAGCAAGAGCCATTTAGAGCTATTTCACTCTTGCTTATACCTGCTGGAGATTAAAGATTGATAGCACTCGAGCCGGGATTCAAAATAGCTTTTTAGTCTAGTAGCTGATTTAGTGCAAACCAAGGTACGGCTGCTTCCTTCCACCGCCCAACGGGTGTTACAGGGAACGCACGTCTCCGCTCGGTGCCTCGTCCTGCGCGTCGCGATCCCTGCCTTGGTAGCCTGGCTTGCCCGAAGCTCTGCCTCCGACCCTTCCCCTGACGTGCCGGGTTCCCCGGGGGGACGCCATACCCTGCCCTCTTAAGCTGGCCTGCGTAGTCTTCCTCTGGGTATCGCGGACGGCGGACGGCAGCCCAGGAGCTGACAGCTCAAGTATTGACCTTAAAACAATAGCTTAAAAAGGAGTTTGAGCAAAGGAGAGCGATAGTTTGCAAGACACCGCAGGGAAGGCCCGAGTCAGGGTTTAGCTGCAGACAGGAGTTACAGAGGTGGGGAGCGAGGACTTAAAAATTAGAAGGTGCCGAATCGAAGGTCCTGCTCTTCCAGCTCCGTTCCTGACGAGCCCGTTCGCAAAGGGCGGGAGGAAAGGAGCAAGGCAAGCACGTAGGGCTGCAGCCCTGGCAGCGGCGTGGTGGGTTAGGGGCTCCCCGAGATACAGGTGATGCCCTGGTACCTAATGGTCCTCAGTAGGTTTGTTTTTCTTTGTGTGATTTTGTCCGATGCCTCCTGGGATCTGGCAGCAGAGGTCTGCATCTTAATTACGTGGTGTCTGGAGAACCGTGTCCCTTTGTTTGTACTGAATCTGCCAGCTGCTGACTTCAGCTGATATCCCCAGCCTCAAATCAGGAGGGAGAGGGAACAGTTGCTGCCTGTTCGCCTTCGCTTTGTCTTTCGACTTCACCGCTGTGGGGCACCGGGTCGGTGCTTTGCAGAACCGCTCATTTACTGTGTCACGGCCGCCCCCCTGAGCAGCACCGCTCAGCCCCGGGCGCCGGTTTTCTGTACCTGTGCTGCTTCCTATTTTTTGGGTAATTTTCACCTGCCGCAACGCATTGCTCTCACTCGGGGGTACTGCCGTAACCAGCGCGGGTTACCCAGCTTTCCGCCCGTTTTGAGGTCATCCATGGGTGTGCATTAAGGGCCCCGGTTAGGCCGTAGCATCCGTGACCCTCAGCTTTGCTCTGGACCCATACTATGCCTAAATGGAGATCTTTGCCCATTTATTTTTTTCCCAAGCAAATATGGATGTAGCAGGACCCTTCAGATCTTGCTTGGTTTGCTTGATTAAAATCCAGATTTATTTTCGGTGCGCTGTTGTCTGAAGCACCAGACCATCTGTGTGCTGCAGGATGAAGGAATCCCCTGCTTGCTGCGATGCCGCGTCTGAACGGATTCTGAAGAACCTTGTGGCAGGAGATAAAAATATTGTAGGGCAGATAAAAGCTCACATACAAGCTCTGCGGGCATCAAGTGTGTGCGTACACGGTCGCAGTCACATGGCGCGGTTGAAAATGATGTATTTTCTAGCGTGAGTCTCCAGGGTTCAAACCCCCAAAGCAGGAGACGTAAAAAACTTGAGTTGAGGGGCTTTTTTTCTACGCGCGCTCTTGGTGAGCGTGTACGGCGCAAGCTGCGTTCTGCAGCCGAGTGCTGGCGTTTACCTTCAGACAGTGAGGTGCCTCTCTCCTGTCCTCACCTGGTTGTAAAAGCCTGGCTTTAAGGAAAATGCCAAGCAGCAGCGCAGCCCCGGCGAGAGTGTGACAGCCTGCAAGACTGCATTTTCTTTAAATTGCAAAATATTGGACAAAAAATAGTCATTTATTTCAAGAATTGCTAGCTGTGAAGTCAAGCACGGCTTCCACCCCGAGTAATTTTATCTGAAAGGAGAGTAACGACCATTTTCCTGCGTGTATACTGGTAATTAAAGCTCTTTGGAAAGGCTGTTTTTCAAGCAGGACGGACGTTTCTCCTGAGGACCCTTGTACAGCCACGGTGATAAATGAGCGTCTCTCCTGGCTTCGGGAGATAACAAATGTCATTCTCTGTCTGGCAGAAGCGCCGGCGTCCTGAGCCCCTGGGCTCCGGCGAGAAGGCGCCCGCTCCCTCCGAACAGCCCCGCATCGGCTCCGCTCTCAAACTGGGGGAGACTGGGTTTGGGGGGGGGGGGGGAAAAAACAAGGGGGCGGGGGTTTTGCCCCCCGGACCCCCGGCGCCCCGGGGGGAGGAGCATCGGGTACCGGGGGGCACCAGGGACAGGCAGCCCTTGGTGCGTCAGCCGCTCCCACGCGCTCTCCGCTGCGAAAGAGAGGAGCCCCTTGTCCTTGCTCTGGAGAGGCATGCCCCGTCGCGGACCCCAGCCACAAACCTTTCTCTAAGGCTGCTGGACCGCAGAAACGTCCCGGCCGCGCGGGGCGAGGGAGGGCGCGCCGGGTGTCCCCGCGGAGCCGCAGTTTAAGAGAGGCAGGTGCGGAGCGGCGTCCGGGTTTATGCGGTCCTGTAAAATATTGCATAAACAAAACGCTTCAAAGATCTTTTAATAACTCCCGAAATGAAACGTTTGAAACTGGCCCTTGTAAACTCTTCACCGGCATTTAATTGCCTCATAAAACAGTATGCTAAAGAAAGTATTAAAGGGGTTTTTTGTTGCCCTCAGATCAGTTTAACCCTTCGGGGACCTTGTGTCCAGCTGTTTCTCTCCCGCCGCCTAATGAGCAGTTACCACCTTCTTTCTTTGCCTTTCATGATACATCGCTGGCTCTGATCCACCAGACCTCGACCTCTTTGCATGGCTCAGGTGTGGCACGAGCAGCGGCCGGCGCGGCGAGGACAGCTTCATCTCTGCCTCCGCCCCTTGGGATTTCAGCAGCGGGTGCACGGCTGCGGCTCTTCCCTCTCTAACACCAGGGCCCAGCAATTTCTCGATGCGCTTTTCTGTCCCGAGGCGAATCTCGGAGCCGCGTTCAGGTGGTCTGTGCCGGGGAAAGCTTGGCTAATTTACAGACCTCCCCAAATCCCCGCTGGGGCCCGGAGCAGCCATCCTCCGTGCGCGTAATTGGCAGCTGGTGCGTGGGGAGCAATGGTGCAGCTGAGATAACCGCAGCTGCACCCGTCGATACGAGGGCAGCCCCATCGCCCCGGCCAGGCACCGGCTCCCACCCCCGAGGCCTCTCACGTCCCCTTTAGGGACGCCCTGGGTTGGCTGCCGAAAGCGCCGACCGCTCCTTGCCGTAGCCGAAATGCAGCCCCTCAGTCGTAAGCTCAGCCCTTGCTGCGGACGAGCCGGCAGCTCGGGACGGCCGAGGGGGAAACGCTTTCTTTACTCGGGCATCTTTGATGCATCTGCAAGCCATAGCTTGTTTCGAGAAAGTTGGAGTGGTTTCGTGTGAGTTTTCCCTCTCTGAGTTTTTGTGGCCTGCCCTTCTGCTCTGCCGAGGCTCATCGTGCCCCTGTGTCGTGATCGGGTACAACCGGGGGCCTCGGGCCACCCCGTTCTGGGCAGGCTCTGCCGGGCACCGTCGTCCCGCGCCCCTGCCCTGAAGCCCGAGGGAAGCCGTCCAGCCTCTCCTGACTGCCACCGCTGGTTCAACACCCTCCGCGGGGGAAAGTCTCTGAATTAAAATTGGAAAGGGAGATTGTAGCATGAGCGGTCGAGGTCCCACAAAGCTGGGGGGAGTGGGGGGGTGTCCCCAAAACCAGCTTGAAATGGCTGCTTTGCTTGCGGAGGAACTCTCTGGGACTGCGACCTATCAGTGCTGCGCTCACATAAACGTATAACGTAAACCATGTCACCTGGGAGCTCCTGGGAGCTCAGGTAGCTTTAAGAATAAGAGAAAATGTAGATTTATTGCTGATTTCGCCATTGTCTTTTATGTTCCCAGAACACACAAACCCGATCGTTGCTGGTTTCATTTCTATGCACAGAAAAGCCAAATACGGAGTTCTAAAAAAGGGCGTAGAGTTTGGGAATTGCTGCCGCAGGAGAAAACGCGAGGGGTAGGTGCTGCGCAGCTCCTCGGTGCGCTGGCTGCGCAGCCCGCGCTCCGTCCCGACGCAGCCCGGGTCTGGGCCTGGGCGCGGAGCTCGCTCGGCTCCCCCCCCCTCGTCTCTAGAGAAGCCGATTTATAGCCGGCCCCGCGCGCACCTGGGCTAGATCAAGGAGATTGAGCTCGGTCACCGGGGGCCTTTCCACAGGGGCGCAGTAATGGCTCGTAGCAGATGTGAGCGGCTCGCTCTCTCCGGGTAGGGCTCTGTGTTACTGCCCACGTGTGAATAGCTGCTGTTTCTGGAGCCGTGCAAGCTAAACCGATGGCAAAGCAAAGTTAATGAACGCAATTTCACCCGCGGCCCCAGGAGGCTGTAAATGAGCCGGTATCTGGAGATGTCGGCAAATCCCCCGCTGCAGTTTTCCAGCTTGCCCCGTGCTTTATTTGCTCTGCCTGAGAGGCCGCGGGTTTTTTTCTCAGCTGGCTTTTTCTTCTCTTGCAGCGAGAACGAGGCGCTGTGGAGGGAGGTAGCCAGCTTGAGGCAGAAGCATGCTCAGCAGCAGAAAGTTGTCAATAAGGTAAATCCCGGTCTTCCAGGCGGAGGGGTTGGGACGCTCTTGTATTCGTTTATCTGGTTATGTAGCGAGCGGGCCGGGCACCTGCAGGATCGGGGGGATGCAGCGGCGGTCATTCTGTTGAAGAATGATTTTGATCGCTGTTTTCTCCCTGTTACCGTGAGATTCTGGAAGCCCAGCGGGGAGAGGCTAAATCGGGGCCGGCAGCGTTACAATGCAGAGTTCAGCCGGCTGCCGCGGACTGGGTTTACCCCTGGCCTTCGCCTTTGTGCTTTGGGTTGCAGTCAGCGCTCTGACCGAGCGGTCCCAGAGCTATTTCTGCTTATCCAAGCACTGTGCACGCCGTAACGGGTTTTTTTTCCTTTTTTCTCCCGGCAGCTTATCCAGTTTTTGATTTCATTGGTGCAATCCAACCGTATTCTTGGGGTGAAGAGGAAGATGTAAGTCTGCATTTCTACATCCAGATAAAGATTCCCTGTCTGAGAGAATAAAGAGAGGATCAGCAGAGTGGGTCCCCCAGATCTCTGTCTGCCGTAGCAGCCTTGCCAGTGGGGTAGGACTGGACAGCGGTCATTGGGATCATGTGAGCCTTCAAGTACTTGCTCCAGCCAAAACCAGCTAACACTGCTATGCGACTGATGTCAAGAAGGGTTGGCGAGCCAGGCCGCATAAGCCCGTGCAGAACCTACTTCGTAGCTAACCACCGCACTCTGTGAAACTGCTGCTGCGCTAGGGCAGCGCACGCAGCGAGGGCTGGGGTCTTGCGCTGCCAAAACAGCCTCTCGGCGCTGCCGGGGTATTTCTGTCGTTAGGTGGAAGGGGAAACATTGGCCCACCCAGACCAGCCTCCTGCTGTCACGGGCTGCTGGGACGCCTGCACAGACTAATCGCGCCTGCCCTCAAACGTGCGGTGGATTATTTTGCCCCTTGCTAGTTGTGCTGGATGACCATTCGGTACTTAAGTACCATAAGCGATTAAGAACAATTCCAGGCTAATTTGTTTCGGCCAGTTAATAGCTACCTGGGTCCATCCCAGGATTGTGCTGTGGCACAGTTACTTCTCCCTCCTTAGCTTTTGCAGATGGTTCTCCTGTTGTGTCTCACCCGACACTCCACGAGGCTGACCAGGCCCCGCTCTGCCAGTCTCGTCCTGCGAGACGGGCTCCTCCTCCACCTGGTTTTTTGCCCTTGTTCACGTATGAACCGGCAGATCCTCTGTCGTGGGTCTGTTCGTCCCGTGTCGCCTGTCGAGTCGCAAGGCTGTCCTTTTGTGTCTGAACAGTGCCCAGCAGCACCATATGGCAGACAACACCACAGCAGGCTTGATTATTATTAATGAAGATAGTGGGGTTTTACACAGTGATAATGTCCAAGACATGCTGAAATGATTTATCTTGTAAGGAGAAAGCGTTTCTCCGCAGTACTCAAGTACATTGAAAGGGCCACAGAAGTGGCTGTGTCACAGCTGACCACCAGTAATCCATCTTTGGAGCAGTTGGCCGTGGCGAAGTGAAGCCAAGCAGAGCACTGACAATACAGGCCCGCAGAAGGAGGTGACCGGGGACTATAAAGAAGTCCTCTGAGGCCTGAGGTTTTACATTTCTGCTCAATAGACTTGCAAAATGTAGCCCGGGGGCTGGTCACGGGGGCTCGTTGTGTTCCTCTGTGTCGTGGGGCTGCTGCTGTGCCGTACTGACACAGCCACCCCCCGTGGCCACGTGCCCCTCCGGGCCACCCAGACCTGGGGACGGTCGCGCATTGGCCCCTCGGGTGGGTGCAAGGACCCAGGTCGGGGGTTGGGGCGGTGGGCTCTGCCGGGGAGACGCGGTGCCCGAGAGCCGGTGCCGGCAGCGCGGTAACTCCTGCGGTGTTTGGGGATCTTTTGCAGCCCCCTGATGTTGAACGACAGCAGTTCAGCACATTCCATGCCGAAATACAGTCGCCAGTACTCCTTGGAGCACGTCCACGGCTCATCCCCTTACGCAGTAAGTACGCCGTGCGCGCCTGGCCTTGGGGAGGGGGACGAGGACGCAGCTTCGCGGGGAGGGACCCGTTGTAGGCTCTTCTCCAGCTGGTCTTGCCTTTGTACAACCGTTTGCTCACAACCTCTTTGTTTTGTTTGGCAACGTATTTTAAGGTGGCAGCTGCGTTCTAGCTTAGCCAAGGAGGAGAGAGCTGTCAGCGGGTCATTCTCCATGATAGCTGTGATGGGGCCGAGGGCTTGACTTGCCGGCCAAGCGAGGAGTTATCTGAATTCTGCTGAAAGCAGAGATGGGTTGAAGTGGTGCCGCCTTGCTTAGCTTACACCTGCTGACTTGGTCCACGTTTTGGTTTTGTCACAAACAAAGCACATCTGGTGGCAGTCACGCATCTGATGTCAGTCGGCCCCTGCTAAACGTTTGCTCGTATTGCCTAATTAATGTGTGACCATGTATAATTAGCATTATTCCCTCCAAAGAAGCCTCCTTTCGGTCAGGGAGGGTGCCGTGGGTTGAGACACGGGCCTGAAGTAGCAAAGACCCAAGTGATCAGAGCTGAATTGTGGAGGTAGGGAGCAAGGTGGGAAGAGCGTAGTAAAGCCAGCTGGTGCTCGTGCACAGAATAATCCCCAACGTGAGCAAGGTTGTGTGGTGTTAAAGCCTTGAGGTGAGAGAGCAGGCGAAGGGATCTCCTGCAAGACGTTGTCAATGTATGGTCCAGAAGAAACGAGTTCTTAGTTGGCTGTGGACGTTCAGACCTCGGCCTCGTTAGGGTGGGTGAACGCCACGCATTCATCCAGCTGCCTGCTCCAGGGGCACCTCACCCCGCTGCCTGCAGGAGGTGGCCTCGCGGTGGCACGGCGTTACGGGAGTCCGTAAACGTGTGCTCCGGACCGTCCTTCGGATTGCTGCTGGATCCCAGTGAATCCTGAGGTTTTGTCTGTCCTGTGCACCTTTGGATGTGCTGCTTCCCCTGGCTGTTCGATGGCTGGTGAACACAAGGAGTCTCCTCCGAACCCCTTCATGCTGGCCCTCAGTCCTCCTTCAGATGAGCAGCGGGCTTGCTCCCGGGCCTGCGTGTGTTGAGTCTGCTCGGCCTCCGAAGCCAGAGGAGGGGAGCGGAGTCACAGAATCACAGAACCATAGAATCGTTACGGTTGGAAGGGACCTCTGAGATCGAGTCCAACCGTTACCCTAACTGCCAGGTCCACCGCTAAACCACGTCCCTCAGCACCACATCCACACGGTTTTTGAACACTTCCAGGGACTGCGATTGCACCACTGCCCTGGGCAGCCTGGGCCAGGGCCTGACCACTCTCTCCGGGAAGAAATTTTCCTAATACCCAACCCAACCCTGCCCTGGCGCAGCTTGAGGCCGT